GGGCCTTGTTTGGCCCAAATTGCTGTTATTTTGCAAATAAATGCATTTTTAATAGAAAGTACAATAAAATAGCAGCTTTCATTCAATGCATTCATGCTTTTTAGGACATTTTTAGACTTCTGGTCTTGTCTTAGTTTATTCTAAATTTCTCTGCTTATTCAGAACCTCCAATGTCAGGGAAATTCAGATAAAAAGAAATGTACTGTATACAAAGGCTGATAAATCTATTCAAACTTGCTGTGCATGCATGAGGAGGATTTTCATCAGCAGCAGGCCACACTGCTGATTGCTGATGAGAAGCGTCTGAAGTTGACCAACCATATGTCAGCCAACTCCCTGCTGGTGACCTTCAGCTTGCAGCTGATGAGATGTTCACTATGTTGTATTTTTTTTACAGCCTCTAAGCTTTATCAGTGATGAAGCCTTTAAATATAAAACTGTAATAAATGTACAGTAGTGCCTGTTTTTTTGGGGGGTTTTTTTGTAAATTTACAGTAATTATAAATAGTTTGAACACCAAGCAGCCATAATCTTGCTTGTTTAAGTCAAATTCATCTGAAGACAAGACAAAAATAATAAATTAACATCACAGGATACCTTTAACTGTATGGACAACATTTCTGGTGTCTAATTATCCCTTTTAGCAGTGTTTGTCAAGTCTGGCTGTGTATGACGGGTAGGAGTTGGATCTGAATGCAGGATTTGTAAACAAAGGTTAAACTGAAAAGCAGTTTTTATTGTTGAACTTAAACATATTGCAAAATAATGCAAAATAAGTGAAAAACAAGAAACCAAATCATCAAAGAGGAAAAACTGCAAGAGATGACATGACAAAGAGCAGAAAGAAAACTGAAGACTTGCAAATACACATATCACCCAATGGAAAAGATATATATATAATCTTATAAAGTTTGTATCTGTCTTGTGTGAAACTTGTATGAAAAGCATACTAAGAGTGAAAACAGATATAAGATCCCTTGAAAAATTATATAATGAAACTTGTATGTTTTGGATACTTACTAAAACAATATATGAAAGTAATGAGAAAGTGGCCACTTTCATGAGTAAATCATATAAGCCTTATATGATTCACTATATGAAGTAGGCCACATCTTATGCAAGTCTTTTATAAGTTTTTACTATTTCTTTTAATATGAGCAGGTAATTAAGGCTAGAGGAACAGCCAGGGAAAAAAGACAGGCTAACAAAATGTGGGGAAGCAAAACCAAACACAACAAACATGAGACAAGGGACTATTTAGATAAAACAGGAAATATAAACCCTGCGAAATTAACACATGCAAACTTGAACACGACAAAAAGGTAAACAAACATGGTGGCATGAGAGACTTCAAGGAAACAAACAGACAAATACAAAAGACAAAGCAAAGACAAAAGGAGCCATAACTAAACTAGAGACATGAAATAAGATCATGACAGTGACAGTGTTGGATTTCACGTCTCCTTTAATGAATGAACAAATGAAAATTCTTTAGAAAGCTTACAAAATGTCATCATCCTGATGTCCAGCTTGAACCTTCGATATTTCCATTAGTATTAGCATTGCATTGCAGAGCTACAAGCATTTCACCTCATGTCATACTGTGTATGGTTGTGTGTGTGACAAATAAAATTTGAATTTGATTTGAATTTAGTGACATCTACCAAACTCATACTGAAGTAATGATTACAAACAAAGGACTGAATGGACTTCTACTGAGATAACAAAATGCTGAGGCTGTTATACAAGAGTCGGGGCCACCTTTAAATTGGTAAGAATGCTGTTTTGTTTGATATTTTTATTCTTGCTTCCTGAGTACTGTATGTTTTTAGTTTTGAGGTTGCATACAGTTGACACTTGAGACTTTGTTATTGTTCTTATGGCATGCTACCTGTTAATAAGGGGAACCTGCTTAGTAGAGGTGGGCGGATCGATAGTAACAATACCAATGATGGTATTGGTATTGGATCTATACTATGGTGACAGGGTCGATTTCTTTCTATCCTCTAAGTTCAGCATGTAGCCTACTCAATTGTGTTAAATTATTTCAAGGTTCTTTATAGGTCACATGCATAGTTGTACAAGTATAACACACAGTGAAATATAACCTGACACGCTCCTCGACTTGTGCAAAAAAAAGGGGGAGAACATTATATATACTAGAAAAAGTTGCATTTCCTGCGAAAATGCAGTGTGAATGCCTTGCAGTGGAATCTGAAAACAGCAGAAGAAGGAGAACAATCTGCTGAAAAGAGCTGAAGAAGCTGAAGTTTGTGGTGAAAACAGCTGACGAATTTGGAATTTGTGCTGAAAAGAGGTGAAAAACTGAAAATGTTCTAACATTTAAGCGTTCATGTTTAGGGATGGTACCGGTGTCCGGTGCCATGATGGCACCGGTTCTGACATAAACGGTAGTAACCAGACCGAAAAGCAGCGCACATTTCGGTGCTTTTTTGTGCTTTTTTCCTGAGCTGTGATACACTTTAGATTCTAGCCAATCATTTTACGTTTCCGAGGATAGTAGGCGGGGCCAGGTACGTACGTTCTGTTAGAGCAGAGCTACAGATTAAAAATGTCCAAGGCGAAGCGGTCAAAAGTCTGGCTGTACTTCACAGCAAAATATGCAAACTCAGCAGCCTGCAACAAGTGCTTTAAGCTGATACTGTGATACTGTCAAAGGAGGTAACACCTCAAAATCCGATGAAACACCTGGCGACGCATAGCGTTTTTTTTAAAAGCCCAGAAATGCGCCGTATTTGATAGCTTGCTGCGAGACCTCACACCGAGCACATCTACTGCGGGTGGGTTGCCTGTTATGCAACATCCCCCAAAAACACGAAGAGGAGAGTCCTGGCCCCTAGCCCTGCCAGTGTAGCAGAAATGATGACGGATGATGGTGGCAGCAGCCGTTCTTCTCTGCGTGAGTAGCTAATTTACGTTGAGTAGGCTAACCACGTTATTACATTAATGCATGTAAGGTGAACTAGCAAACATCATCATAGCTACATGCGGCTGTCTTCTTGTTTGATGGCAGATACTCCCTTCACCCTGGCTAAAAAGGCTAAAATGACCAAAGAAAAAGTGGAAAACAGTTAAACATGAGAGGTTTAGGACAAAGTTTGTGTTTTTTCCATTGTTTAAGCACTGCTTCCAGCCAAGAGTGATACCATATATGCCCCATAGCTGCAGAAAAGGCTAACATTGTTATATTTTTACAAAAAACAGCTGAACATGAGAGGTTTTTGGACCAATTTTGTGTTCTCCATTCTTTAAGCACCGGTTTGAGCACCGGCACCGTTTCAAAAGTACCGATTTGGCACCGGTATCGGATAAAACCTAAACGATACCCATCCCTATTCATGTTAGTGGAAGGTCTTTTGGATTTTATGTTTTTGAAAGCTTTCTCAAAATTTCTGACAATTATCTCAATATTTTGGAAAAACAAAGTAAAGTTTTAACTTCTAATTGAATTATTTCTAATTAAAAATTTCTACAAATTTCCCAGATGATTATCTCAGTAATTAATAAAAACAGGACACATTTTTTGTAGCCAAGTGAATGCATTTCACTTTCGTAGGCTAGAGCATTTTAAGACCATTTTAAAAAAGAATCAGTATCCATATGTTTTATGAAATGTTGTATGACATGTAATCATTATATTTTTCCTATAAACCTATAATTTTTTTTTTTTAAAAATTGAAACAATGTTACTGGAGATGATTTCTACTGGAATACCCAAATAATTAACAATATAATTTTCAGGAGCTCTAGTTTTAAGAGCTCTTTGAAATGTTGTGCATTACACGTAGCTGATAAAATAAATAGTCTTATCCTTTTTCTATCCATGTACATGTGATAGTTGTCGTTTTCTGTGTCTGTCTGTGTCCTCTGTGCTGTAACTTTACATCATGTTGCCAGCCTTTGATTGAAACCTTCCTTCCCCAGCCATCAAATGCTCAGGAAACATCCTATCAGGGTCTACACTTTCAGATCCTTACAACACCTCAGAGACACCTCAAAGATTTCTCAGACCTTTTTTTTGAGCCTCGAAGTGAGAGATGTCCAATAACAGAAGTCCCATTGCCTGTCCTTGTTAAATTACATACAATAGCTAGAGCACCTGTGTCAGGTCAACTTGTGCTCTTCTATTTCTTATTTTATTATTTTTAAGGCAGTAGTGTAAGCAGCTCTCTCTACTCCCTGCCCTCGGGACTTAAAGATGATGAGTCATTTCTTGTGCCCTCCCATTTTATGCCTGCTCCCTTATTTCTGACATTAGAAGCTCATTGTGTTGCTTTTCACAGCCTTAGTTATCTCTGGTCTCCCTTTTTGAATGCATTGAGTTCATTTCGCAGCTCTTTCACTCTCTCTTCTTTTTATCATCTTTCTCTTGTCCCTTTAGGTTGCTGGAACCTTGTCTTTCTACTATCACACTCACTTCTACTTTCTTCTCATTTCACTTTTATTGTCGCTCTCTGTTAAGTTTTCTCTTCTTGCTTTTCATTTTCATCTCCTCAGCAGCTGGGGCAATAGATGCGGTCAGCGGAATTACTTATTGTGTATGATTTTTTTCTTATATTAAAAAAATAGACCTAAATGTGTTCATTGGCCATCATACTGTCACAAGTGAAACTGATTAAACAAAGCAAATAGCATTAGCATGCTGACATGCTCATAAGACCTCCTGTCTGCAGTAATTTCATGGCATTCCCATTTGATAAGATTTTAGATGAACACTGGTTTACCTGAAGCCATGCTACTAGTTGTACAGGATTTTCCCAACACTAAGATTTCAAACAACATTTCAAACAAAAACTCTAATTTAAAATGTGTCTACTTCTTTTTTCTTTACATACTTTTTCCCTGTAACCCACATGTAACACTGAGATGTAGCGTGGCATTTCGTGTGGGAGAGTTTGTACGGAGCCCCGCAGGGGACATGGGAGAAAAAAAAATTAAGACGGACTTTTGCAAAAGTCTGTACCATACACCTCCAAATCAGCACTGAAACCTTAGAAACAACCACAGCGATGGAGGACACACACCCATTTGAGCGATTCATAGATTTTTACTTTGAGCTTGGACTAAACTATAAAGACATTAAAACTGTGCTTTGCATTAGACACAGTTTTCATATAAGCGAAAGACATCTGAAGAGAGTTCTTAGCGCAAGGGGACACACTCGCCACAAAGCGTACTCTGACCTGGCCGTCTTGGTTGAATTTATAGACAACCAATTGCAGTACTCTGGGCAGCTTCACGGATACCGATGGATGTACGCTAAATGCAGGGAACATGGACTACGCGTGAGGAAAGAGGATGTGCGCTTGGTTTTGAAGGAGCTGGATCCCCGAGGCGTCGCACTGAGGCAAGCAGTACGTTTCAGGCGGAGGAACTATTTTTCAAAAGGGCCGAATTTCATCTGGCACATGGACTCCTACGACAAACTGAAGCCATATGGCATCTGTATCAATGGTAGTATTGACGGTTTCTCGAGAAAAATAATCTGGCTTAATGCATACACAACAAATAGTAATCCGAAAGTGATCGGGGGGTATTACATAGAAGCGGTGCAGCGTTTAAAGGGCTGCCCTAGAGTTGTGAGGGGCGATCTTGGAACTGAAAATGGCCATGTTAGAGGCTTTCAGCGTTTCCTTGTGCCCGTGGCTCCTAACGACACCCCTGAGAGTTACTTGGAGGGAGCAAGTACCGCCAATCAAAGGATTGAATACTGGTGGCGTTTTCTTCGCAGCCAGTGTCTGGAGTTCTGGTTATCCTTATTTGCAGACATCAGAGACAACGGGTACTTTGATGGTGGGTTTCTGGACAAAAACCTCCTTCAGTTTTGTTGCATGGGACTCATCCAGGTGAGTTAATAAGAGAAGAGCTCAACAACCAAGACTACAGTAACATCTATGTTGTTTATGTTGACATGTCATATGAAATTTTCTTATCTATAATATTAACTATTTACAATTTGGAATTATTTCGATTGGGATATCAAAATAACTTACAAATACAAAATACAATGATCACTGACATAAAACAAATTGATTATTATGAGGTGAGTAGATGAGCCAAGCAGGTAGTAATAAGACTAATAGTACTAATGTAAGATATCACAGCATAACAGTAACCGTAGTTAGTGTGTGAAACACTTGTACAGATGACATTAGGTAAAGTACATGATTACAAAAATGCACATGATTGTTTAAAAATAATAAATTGCATAAATCTAATAAACCTTCCTCTCAGTGAGTGAGTTGTCTTATCGTGATTTGCGTATATGTATATACGTACATGCGATCGCATTTCTTAAATTTCTGTATTCTTTTTAACAGGATGAGCTGGATGACACTGCACAGGTTTGGAATACACACTCCATCAGGCCATCAGCAAACATCAATATCCCCAGTGGTCGACCTAATGTAATGTATACATTACCTGAGCTCTACGGGACAAGAGACTTCCTTTGCCCCACTGAAGAAGAACATGTTGAAATGTGTAAAACTGAGTGTGTTTTTCGACTGACCAAACCATGTGACCCCGATGTATATGAACTGTGCAATATCATCATGACTGAGTAATAAATGCCGTAAGCTTATTCCCTAAGACCCCAAGCTTCTATCAGTCTCACATCACACTACTGTATGCAACTCATTACCATGCCAGACAGGCATGCGCTGGCGCACGCCTCGACCCAGTACAGGTGATACTTGAAAAAACGGTCTGACTACACCTATCGCTAACTTGAATGCATGAAGACATCATGGCATTAGTGTAAATTGCATACAATGCAGCAGAGAACATTACTCAAAATTGACCTGTGATATGTGCGAAAGCTAACTTCTGGATGTTAAACAGACTTTAAACTGTAAGCTTTCTAGTACACAGTCATTTATGAGAATATCTTATATAGAAATATTTATTGTTGTGTTCCAGGGGGGTCAGTGAACTAAAGTATAAAGGGGAGTCTCTGCCTGTTAATGATATTCTGAGTGTTCTTTAGCACAAAAACATTGTAATGTTCTGTCAAATGTTATCAAGTTCCATGTCTATGTGTATTACTTCGAATTACTTTAACTGTGTATTTGGCTTGATACATGGATCAAAACATAAGACACATCTTAATTTAATGTGTTAGGAGTTTAATGTACAGTGTTAAATCAGATAATGGTGGTTTATGTTGAGTATTTTGTAATAATTTTTAAATGGTGAGTTGGTTTTTATTTACACCATCTGTATTTGTTAATGATGGGAATGTTTAGTTGTTGATATTGGCTAGAATACTGTTTAAAATCGAAGAGATATGATATTATGCCTTGCTGCTTTATATATATTATAACGCCAACTGTCACATTGGCAGGCTACATGAAATGGTACTAAGGGGCATCATGATCTGAGAGGGGGCACCTTGGCATTTTGCTGAACTCCAGTTTCTCTGGCTAAAAATATAGTTATTTCATGTCATTTTTGCTTCTTTTTTTTTTTTAACTATTTATTCTGATTCCAGAAGAGCTTTAGTTTTTTAATGTTTAAACAAAACTGAAAAAATAAAGAACTAAATAGAGACCTTTTGAACTCTTAAAATTTCTAATAGATATAAACATTCTTTTTTTGTCACTGAATTTATCTGAAGCTTATTTTATCAGCTGAATAACAAATTCTTTGCACCCACCTGTTCTGTTGATGAACAGCAATTTCATTCGAATGCTATTTTTGCAAAACTCACCACTCATGAAAGGATGATATGTGTTGTTGAACTACCGGACAAATAAACTGAAATCGAATCAATTTCTAATCATTTTTGGACTATGTAGTACAGACAACTAAAAAATTGCAAATGACAAAAGCATATCGACAACATCTGTGTATTGACTGCCTGTGTTCCCAGGCACTTTAATTTCAGAGAAGGGTAGACAGAATTGCATAATCTTTCAAAAATGTAGCAATACTTTATAATTAACCATATATACTATTTAATCTAATTAGAAATCCTGGCCTACAATCTTGTTTATCATAGAAACTGTTAAATCTGATGATCATTGCTTGTTAATTTGTAATTATATAAGACAGTATAAAGAATTGTGAATCATCTGTATGTCACATTATGGCAAAGTCCTTTCCAAAAAAAAAAACTTGTGATGGCAATATGATTTTTAACAAAACAACTAGTAAACATTTTGGAAGCTAATCAAGGGAAAATAGGACTTATTGTTACAAGATTATGTTTATAGGCCACATCAGCTTTAAGAATTTGTAAACAGGGTCTTATCATTAACTTTCAATAACTTCTTTCGCAACCATAGTGACATTCTTTACTAATATTAATGGACTTTTCACACTAAAATCAAATTTACAAATTTTTCTGTTCGCTAGCTGTAGTATTCCTTAATCCACACTGTTTTAGTGTGAGTTGCCCAATTTTAGAGATATTGACTGTACAAGCCTACCCCTTTGTTTCACATGGTACTTAATGCTTAGTAGCAAAGTCTTTATGTAGACCTTATGTAGCTTCATGTTGTTTTTCAACAAGGAAGAGATCTCTACAGCTAATATCTCCCAAAACTAGGCAACTCACGACAAAACATTCTAGATGGATAAACAGCAAGCCAATGTGTGTCACTGCGGGGTATGCAGGTGTGTTGAGAGAACGTACCCAAAAGCAGACAAGGAGAGAGAGAGGACAATCAACTTAAAACAAAAGCGAGCCTTTATTCTGGCTGATGGCTGGAGTAAAAGAAAATAATGACAATGTGTACAGCAAATTTTGATGTGATCTGTCCCTCTAACGCTAAACACAAACCTTGTTTTCAACAGAAGTTAAAGATGTGGTCATTTTCAAAGAATTTTTAACAATAAAGAGTCCTTGTGAAATCTGACCTAACATACAACTAAACCATCAGAAAATTAAATTTGTGACTGCTTGTTATACGGCTGAATATATCAAATGCTTCAATGACAAAATGAAACAAGACAGAATTTATGAACTCAAGGATAATCATACAAATAAAAATTACAGCTCTAACCATTAGTACACTCATCAAGTTCAAATGATATCCATTTCAAAGTAATTGCTGGAAAGGACATTGTCGAACTCTGTGCGAAATTCAGGATAAGAACTGTAAGTGCATGGCACTTCAAGGGTAGCTCCACAGGTGTGAGCAACAGGCCTTCTGTTGAGCCCAGTTTCAGCATTAAAGCACACCAAAATTTTGTCAACACATATCACAGAAGATCCTGTGCAGAAGCGCAGGATTTTTTCAGCTTTGGTTTCATCAGCGTTTTTAACATAACGCTGAAGATGGTTAAACGTTGTTTGTTCTCCGTGAGACAGCATGATTTTTGTTGCTTCAAATAGCTGCACTAGTCTTTTGCCTGTGGCCTTCTTTGTCTTATACAGAGATAACACACTTTCCTTGTCTGCCAGTTTCAGCTGCAGATGTGCCATGGGTGTGGAGAAGCAATCCATTATATACTTTGGCTCTTGGAGAATGGCCTTATGAGCCATTGTTTCAATGGCAGGCTGCATGTTGTTCTTAGGTGGTAGGAAGTGGGAACCCATCCTTGTAAAAAGGTCAAGCAGGTCCTCTTCATCATTTTCATCCATTGTGCCTTGGAGAGCCTTCTCAACAGCTGATCTCTCAACAGGAGGCAGATAGTTGAGAAACGATGCAATCAGAATGTCTACATCAACTGAGTCCATTCCGTGTATGCAGGCTAAAATGAAAGCCCTTGACAGCCTCACTGGAAAGACACCATGGTCTAGTAAGCCTTTCACCCATATCTGCCCAACTGCTTGCCATTCAGCCTCACTGAAGTCTGGCCTCAGCCTTGGAACTCGTTCGTTTTCACCTTCACACTGTTCCAAAAATTGCTCCCAAAATGCAGTGTAAACCTCCCTTGACACCCCAGCATCATCAACAGCATTTTCATTTACAAAGTTCATCTTTAAAGTCACATTCAGAATGCGACTGTCCATAAATACAGCCAAAAGATCATCAACAACTTTTATCCTGCGAATTGATACATGTAGGGGGCTCTGTGGGTCTCCTGAATTTGATGGGGAAAGTTGGTTGCTTGAATCTAAACGCAAACCTTGGGCGATGAAATTCAGTCCATGGTCCTGAGTAAAAGACAAAACATGCACATTTCATAAGAAATGCAAATGAACTGTACAGATTACACAATATCAATGTTCTGAAAAAGTTTGAAATTTATTTGTCTAATTTTAGTGGGCTGTACATTCCCAAACCATGGTTGCACTGACAATTGATATATAACATTAACATTGTGGCCTGATGGATGTCCTTGTATGCCTCACAGAAAATTATACAAGTGTTCTTTACATGTATGAGAAGACTCACTTATGTGCAAAATAGGTAGAGAACACAATAGTGACACCAAAACAATGTCTCACTGCTGTGTTATGTAAATAACTTGATTTCAAGACTAAATTTCCTGTTTAATCTTATGTTAATGTAAAACACTGGAATTGTCTCTCAACTGACAATATCATTTTAATTCAAATAGACCCACAAACTGCCATATCCTCAGAAAATAGCATGAAATCAGAGTTCAGCTGAGACAGTGTCCTTTGCCCCTGCTAAGGCGTGCAAATTTGGCATCTCTACAGTATGTAAAGATAGGTGTTCATGTTTGCCTGAATTGATCCATCTTACCTGTGCAATCTGGGGTGCTTCCTCGTGTATGGACTGCATATGTGGTGTGAGCAAGCCATTAGCTCAAGACAATGGGAGCAGGAAACCATCCATAGGTAATCCATTTAGGTCAGCATTCTGAAGGAGAAAGTACTGCATTAATTGACAGCAGACACCTTAAACCTTCAAGTTTATGAGACTCTTCTTCAATCAAAATCATGAATGTTCTTAAAAAGTCTGCAAAATATGTCAGTAGATTTTAAGAAATTATTTTGAGCCTACATGTCTCACTTATAAGTGGAAAGGGACGTATTCCACAGGTTTTTATCAGATCTTGTTTTGCTTCTTACTACTTAAAATGTTTTATTATTGCTGCAACAAAATCAAGCTTAAAAAACCCCCAAGAGATTAATTCTGATTAATAGAAATCAAGCAAGTGTTTCACAGTACTGTAGGTTATTTCATTTGAGATTCCAAAGAGTAATAGTACAGAAAATATCAGACATGGTTAAATTTTGTCAAAGCAGGAATGCATGATCGACTTTTTTAAAATCAGAACTATGCAAGTTATTGAATTTGAGTATAAATACATTTCCATATTTTGTAACACTTACATAAGTATCTAAACCACCTCACCCACAACTGTCTATGGTCTTACCTGTGTGAGATCCTCACTGTTGACATAATTCAGGGTTATCACGACTGTGTCATCACCATCTGCTCTGACGAGGTCCTCTTCAGGATTCCATATAACTGTATCATCTATGTCTGGAAGACGAACTTCTAAGTCTTCTGGAAGTTTGTGCTGGGATTCTAGTTGGGAGGATTCCTTAGGAACTCTACTGGTCAGATCAATAATTTCAGAGCAGTGGTCAGGGAAATCATGATCACTTGAGTCAGTCTGCTGCCGCTGTCCCATGACAGTGTTTCTAATGTCTGTTGGGGTTGAATGCATATGATGTGATTTTCCTGGACTTTGTGTTGTCACTGCCTCACAGAGTGATTTCAGTTTTTTTTGGTTTAGTTCTTGTTTTAGCAGCCAATCATTTACCATATGTTAATGAATACAAAGCTGTAAGTCTTTCACAGATGTATTAAACGTACCTTACCACACAAGTCAACAACAAATTCCTGGAATAATTTCATCCTACAGAAGTGCAAGTGATGTAGATGTAAATAAAGCACTTGGATAAGACAACTCTTTCTTGCCGTTCCACAGTCATACCTAGTACAATAGCACAACAAAATTAGAACGTGTCCCACTTCACAAATGAAATTAGGATTCGGGGTTTGGAACCTTTTTTGGTGGTAGAGATGTAATTACTGCACCCCTTTGCATTTTCAGAGCAGTTATTCTAAATATTTGCAAGGCTGCCAAACACATTGCTTTATATAACTATTGATAGAAAAAATAATAATCTTCCAGGTGTGTCAGAGTAGTACGGAGCCCTGCAAGGGACATGGGAGAGAAAAAAAATAAGATGAACTTTTGCGAGATCTCTCAAAAGATCCCGCTACTTTTTGAAAACTAGAAACTCGATTTCATTAATAGCATCTTTGTGTTTTCTTGTTGTTTCTGTTCCATGAGTAGGTTTCCTCCCGGTGCTCCAAAAGCATGCATGGTAAATAAATGGTGATTGTAAATTGGCCTTAGAATCTTTCCAAATGTACACTGGGACAGAGTCCAGCCCTGCATAATGCTGAATTCAACACTTTCTGTCACGGCAGGGTGTGTTTTACTACAGGACCAAGAAGAGGTAGGGGAGATAGTTGTAACATTTTTGACATTTCTGTCTGTAAATTGGAGC